CCAGGGACCTGATCTGGGTCCCCTCCTAGCTTGTCATTTTATTAGCTCTCTCTTTTGTGTGCAGGTTATTGAGGCTATTTTCTCATATAAAAAGTAGAAGAAATAATACCAACTTAGTTTATCTCAGAAATAATTATAGGAAAACTCTCAGAAAAATCTGAAGTGCTGTACCAACAAGTACATTAAATTCTTCTCAGATTATCTGTGCTGTTATTATTTTTACTTATTCAAGGTCCCATGGCCAGGTAAGACATTTTCCTACTAAGTATATTTATGTGAAAGCATAATGATTATTCTCTCACAGAATAACTGGGTGGTTAGAACTTCTACTACTTTTCAATTACATACCCAGTGTGTCTGATCATTTTCCACCTGAAATTAAGCTGTTATGCAAATCTCATCAGTTTTATACATGTGGGAGAACCAATGGAGGAAAAACCTGTTATGATAACGGTCCAACCTATTTGCTTAAATAGACTCAGAGAGAAAAATAATCAAGTGAGAAGGAGCAGAAGAAAAGAGATGAATTTCATTAACAGGGAAGAAGTAGAATATATCCATTCAGCCACAGCACTCACACCCCATTATTTTCCCTTTTCAATTATAATTTTCAAGGGAAGACATTACACTTAAATAGCCCTGAAAGGCTTGGGCTTGCAGAGGTACCGGCTGACTTCATGGTGTGGGGAACTCAGCATGCCAAGTTCGCGGTCTTTCTAACTGAATTGGAGATGCTGACAAAGTATTTAAAACTTTGGAGATGCCATTAAAAATTTTCCTGGTCAGTTTCCTTACTTTACAGTCACAACTCATATGATACAATAATAATTTCAATGAAATCTTCTAACTTTTAGAAAAAGCTGGGCTGGAGCCCATTTCTCCTGTATACCACAGGGACAGAAAAGAAACGCAAGAGTGGTCCTTTTTTCTCAACACAGGAGATGAATATCACCTGAACAGCTCTAACATTACAATTTATCTAGAAATATTTTAGCTTCATAATTAGCAAAGCATTAAGGAGTGCTTTACAACTTATTTTTATTTATGACTCAGAATTTTGTAGCTATAGTTCCTGTGAGATTCCATTCATTTTTTGGCTACTCTCATTCAAGAGCCGTTTGTGGAGACCATGCCACGGGAGTATCATCGAGAAGGGTCGTTGTCTTTGCATTATGTAGTTTAGTGAAACAAAGCTCTGCTTGGCCAGGGGACCTGCAGCAAGTTGCCCAGTTGCCCTCTCTACCCTGAATTCCGAGTGTCATTTTGACCTCCCCCTCCTCACCCACTCTGCCCCACCCACTCACCAAGGTCGATGGAATCCCTCCAATCCACCACCTCTCCTTCATCACAGCTACGACAATGACCTTAGCCTGCCTGTTCTCCTGCCTCTCTGGCAGAAGGCCCTACCTGGTCTGCCTGCCTCAGTCTTGGCCCCTCCGATTTCCTCCCACCACTGAGACTCTGAGGAGAAGAACCTGCCTGCTCACTCTGCTGCTAACACTCTCCCGTCACTCCCTGTGTAGCCTGGACGTGAAGTGGATCTTAGGTTCTTCGCAGGTAAGATGAAGAGAAGACAACTTCAGGGATTACTGTGAGATTTAACGAGTACAATGTAAGCACAATTTTTTTAAATGAAAAGAAACTACAAATGTAAGAAGTTATTAAAGGAAATTTTATCAGACAATTTAGTAATTAAGTAAAGTAGTCAAATATAATTACTTGAGTGACTAAATGAAGTTAATAAATTATGTCAGAGGTTTTGTGGGTTTATACAAGCTGTAATGATAGAGTGGTGATACTGACTTTCTGTACAGTACATAGCAGAGGTTATGTCCAAATCAGTGCTCAGACGGGAACTGCACATTTTACACAGCAGGTGATCACTGATGTCTAAGTAATGGTGTGTTTATCATCCACACACTGAATTTGGCTTCTTGTAGACAAAGCTATGCATCCCTAATTTCTTTTTTTCTTGGAACTCTATCAGACTACAAATCTATGCCTAATAGTGTTTTTCTTTAGAGAAAACCAAAATAAAATGCCAACATATCTGCAGGTGCTTATCAGGGGCAGAAATCCTCCACAAACAGAATAATGTGTTCTAAGTAAGGACTTGACAACAATAAATAAGTGATAATGAGTTCATAACTAGTGAGTAATCACAGCTGTATATTAGAAATTGGTTGGAGTTTTATTAATCCCAGAGCCAATCCTGCGTGACCAGAGATGAGTTATATGATCCTAAATGAAATGAAACCTGCAATGTAGTAAGGACTCAGTAGAAAGAGAAGCCTAAGATCAAATTTTCTCAGAAAGAGAATTAATAAAATAATGAAAATATGAAATGCATAAAATGTTAGGATAGTTGGGAAAGTTACTACTGCTTAATGAATTATATCACAGCTGCACTGGACTTCGGTAAAGTGTGATAATGAGATGAGGAAAAAGATAACATAATCAATGTAAGGGTTCACATTATTAGTTCAGTGACAGGCACATAGCATGTGTTCCCTAAATATTTACTGATTAAATTAATTAACAAAGAAGACTTGGGTGCTCTTCTATGGCTACTATTATTAATTCAAAATCTTTTAGTATTAGTGCTATTGAAAATAATCAGTCCCATAATTTTTTCCAGTGAACTCATATATAATAGTCAGAGCACTTATAGATGTTCCACAGTTACATCCTATGATACACAGTTAACACATTTCACAACCCTTCCTTCTCTAAGAACATGGTCTTTGAAATGCTCCATTCCCTAATATCTAACCAGATTGTGCAGGAGTTTTGAGATACTGGGACTTGTAACTTTATGCTAATATTTGTGGACTACTGCAAGCAAGCAGATATGATAAATACACGTTACAATGGCCACCACTCTCTCTTCCAATCACATAACAGACATCAATAATTAGTTGTGGCACTTTCTACTTAGCCTGGAATTTATCCTCAGTGTCAATTTCAACAGAGTATTCTACATAGGCCTGTTAATCCCTTCCTTTATCTGTTTAACAAATATTACTGAATTCTTACTATGTGCCAGGCACTGTACCGGGGAGGCACATTGCAGACTGAAGTGATTTAAACAGACATGGATCTTGCCCCCATGGCACTTAGATTAGCAATTGATTTGACACCAGAGTAATGACTGCTTGCCAGATCTGCTTTGTTGTATAGATGAAATGGAAATAATTCTAAGTGGCTAAGTTTCTCCTCTATTTTCAAAAGGAACTGAAGAAGATGGGTGCTGTACTCCCTACCTACCACCTCCAGAAACGCACACCGTCTGCTGAACAGTGTAGGAGTTAAGGGCAAAAAGAGCTGAACATTATTTTTTAGAGAGAGAAAGAGAAAAAGAGATGGTCTTCTTTTACTTATTTAATTATTTAATTTGCAAGTCAGAGTCTGATAAACCCATAGGAGATAATTTTATGATAATTTTAGCATGAATGAATTTTATACCACTTCCTCAGAAAGACAGGGATAAAGTGTTTTTTCTTCCACAAGTGCCAGAAAGAGCAAAACGACCGTGCGGAACTAGAAGAAGAGAATAGATGTCTGAGTATATAGGTTTCCCATCACTTTGTGTCTGCTTTCTCCCGGAGCTGCAACAGTAAATCTCTGAAAGTCTCTCCTTTATTCTGCACCTCCTCCACCCTGTCTGGCTTCCTGCCTTCCTGCCTGACACCTGCCCCTCCCTCCTGTAGAAGTGGGTTCACTTCCCTCAGCAAAGACCCCTGGCCTACTTCCTCTTGTTTTTAAGTGGGATCATTGCATTCCTACCATGGCAAACTGCTAGGAAGATGGTGTCTCCTCCAGTTACCTACCCACCTGGAAAAGTGCAAAATGTAAAACCAGGAGTTTGGAGGAACAGGAACAGAAAAATGGCTCTATCTCAATCAGGCTGATAAGAGCTAAAAAGATATCACTGCTAATAGCACACAACTGTTCCACTGTCTCCTAAGGCTAATCCTGAATCTGCTATTAATATGGCTCTGTTAAAACATTATCTAGTTGCCTTCTTTCAAAAAGTCAAAAAGATTTCCACCAAAACCTAATTCCATGGTACTGTCTCCAATGCAAGGATCCAGTTCTTTAACTCACCTGGATGTATACACGATATATATTTAGGCTATTGATATGTATGGTTGATTGTTTTGCTTTGTCTTTTAATTTGCCTTTGGGCCTAAGGTGCCTACTAATTTTGCTTTATGTTCTCCAGAACCTCATTTTTTAAAAAAAAATCCCTTCCAAGGAAGAACAAAATATCAGGCCTTCTTCCTTATTCTTCTTCAGGGATCCATTTCTATTGTCAATTTATATTTAAGAATTTTACACTTCTTCCCTCTGAATTTCCTTAGAGAATTTTTTTCATTCTTTAAGGAAAAATAGTACCATAAAAATTATAACTGAATAACGATTCATTTTTACCTTTTGCCCTTTTTCCTATATAATGGCACATGCCAGCTCTTATATCAATGGCACTTGCTTAAGGAGCATGAAATCATACAACATCACCAATTGGAGCCAATTTTATAGCATTCAAGAAACAATTAGCAACATTACATTTATGAATTATGCATAAAGAACAATATTTTACAACTCTAATGTATAAAAGAATGCAGTTGTGTTAAAGGACAAAAAAATCTTGCATTACATGTTGAGATTCTCAGTAATTAAGAGAAAGAACTAAATTCTTGTCATTCGTTTATTCTATGTGCCAGACCCGATTCTATTTTGTGAACAAAATAGACAAGAATCTCTTTCCTTCAGGGAGCATACAATTGACCTAGTGGTCCATGAAAATTCTAGTTGAAACGGACGCTCAAGAGATGCATTAAAAATGCATTCTAAAAATTTCTACTACTAGGCTAGAAACTCTTCCTTGGCCCCCTTCTTTCCCATTCTCTGGGACAGCCCCCTTTTCAAGGGATCAGGGTATGTTTATGACCCTCTGAGAAACTATAAAGAAACAACGTAGAAAATGGAAGTCTTACCATTAATAAATATATAGATTTTAGATTCTGTTTGCTTGTTCTTTGAAGCAGGAATAGATAGATACTTGCAGCTATAGAAGCCAGTGTGGTTTGCCTGGGCCGTGGTCAAGATCAAAGTGCTGCAGAACTGTTTGCCATTCCTTCCACAGGCAGATTTTGTTATGCTGAGCCTTTTGCTATCCTTTCTCACTGTTTCAGGCAAAGACCATGAGTGGTCTGCTTTCCCTCTGCAATCACAGAAAAGAAAAGAAAACACAGTTAGGACTGGGGCCAGCTTCTAGGCACTCATCTCATGGGGAAATGCTATTCTGGGGTCCTTTCTTAAGTGTTGTCATCTTCTTTATAGAAAAGCAATGCTAAATTTAGAAAAACTTTTAAACAACTCAGAATAAAGGTGAAAAATGCTCAGGGCTTCCCTTCCCCTGTTTCCTCTTGAGTGAGTGAGTCTCTTTAGGAGGTGATTTACCTCTACATGAAGTAGGACACTTGTGGTTTGCACTTTGCAAATCAGAAGAGACCGCTGAAGTCCCTACCTTTCTGTTCTGAGAGGTGACCTTCCTACTCCACCTTAGGAAGGGCAGCCAGATAATCCCGAAGCTGACAGTCACTTACCTGCATTTGATATACAGCGTCTTGCCTGCTTGCATGACATGCTGGGTGCCTTTTAAACTCAGTTCAGGACCTTTTAATTTTGAACCTGAACTAGATCCTGGAAAATAAATTTTTGAAATGTATTATTTACAAATTGTCCTCTCATATTTTTTTAAGTTATATCTTTCCATAAAGATAAATTTTCACCTTTAACTTACTTTCATATGCAGAAAGGTAAGGCTAATACAAATTTCTCTCAATTCACTAATTTTTTTTCTAGTCCAAGTCTTACTCAAGAATATTATATATCCTATTATGACAAATGATCTAATTAATATCCAAAAGCCCATTAATTTAAAACATTAATAGATTTATATGTGGTTTAAAATGCAACTACATTAAGACTACATAATGCAGACAAAAAAGGGACCCCATACTAAACTCTCCAAGCTCAGGGGAGGCCTGCATGGTGGCCATACACACTCAGAGACTGAAAGTGACTACATAGGATGGTCTGGACGTCAAAATTCTTAACCAAATGTGGGTCATGGCAGGTAGTCACGTCCTATGCTGTTATCTTCCTTGAGAAACATCAACCACAACCTTACGTGAGCAGGTCTATTGTCGTGAGCAGGTCTATTGTCGTTTTGCAATTAACATAGCATACCTTCAAAATGTCAGAGCCGGCTCCTTTTCCAGACCCCTCAGGGCACAACCTCTGCACTGGAGCAGAGACCACGGAACTCCCCCACCCATTGTTATCTTATTCCCCACATACCATCTCTGTGTGCTGGAACTGTTAACTATTAACCTTCCTGTATATCCACCAATGTGAAAGAGGTCTGTGTCTCTGCTTTACTTTTTATCCAATCCCAGAGATTTCCCTGCTTTGCTTTCTCCTACCCCTTAATCTACCACCAATGGATTTCATGGAATCCCTCTCACATCTCTTCCTCTGATGCTAATGTATAAAATAAGCTGCAAAACTGCCATTCTCTGGAGCATTTTCTTAATCCACTGAGGTTTTGCTTCCTGGAAGTTGTCAGTTTGGCTCAAATAAACCCATAAAAATTCTCTGTAGGTTTGGATGTTTCCTATGTTGACAGTAGTAACTTACTAAAAACTCTCAGGATAAAATATCAATGTCATCCAAAATATAATTCTAATACCAGTGCAGGTCAACTGTATAAATGGCTTGTGTGAACTTTTTTTCTGAATACAAAACACATACAAATTTTCCTGTGTTCTAGACATAGCTCAGTCGTTAGTTAAACCGTAATATTTTGGGCAAGTCACTTTCTTTCTGAACTGGTTTCCTCATTTGGAAAACTAATTCTAGAATCAAAATCAGTTTTAGAAGCCATTTGGTTTGTCTCACATAATCTCCAAGTTCCTTCTGCTGTGGAACCGAAAAATAGGAATTTCCTGCACCTATGTGACATTTGACAAGCATATTTCATGATTGTTGAAAGACAATAAAATAGGCCTTGCAAAAGTGCCTTAAAATCTGTACATCTCTATACTACACAATAATAACACCTGTCCTATTGACTAGCTGTGTGAACCTGGACAAGTCACTCCCCTCTCCACTACTCAGTTCTCTTATCTGGAAAATGAGACACTAGACTGGATAAGCTTGGATGTCTGACTTTCCATTACCAGTCCCAGTTTCACGGCTATTTGAGCCTTTGGTACTGTCGAGGTTGATTTTTCTCCTGAAGCTCTCATTGACTAGTCAGGATGGATCTCAGTAAAGACCTCTCCACCTCCTCCTTCTCTGCTCCCCCACTGCCCCCTCCTCTCACATTCCTCCTCCTCTTCCTGCTGAGGCAGCTGCAAGGCCGAGTAAAAACCCAGGGATTAGCAGGGATAATGGTTGGGGGAGGGAGGAAAGATATTCTGGGAGGGAGGAAAGTTAAGGATTTAGAGCCAAATTTAAAGAATATTTTTTACTTAAAAATTGGTTTATGCCATGGATTTCAAAGTGGAAGGTTGAGCTGGCTGGTCCTCCAGGCTTTAATGTTAGATCACAGATCTAAGAGATGAGAGACACATGTCTGATTCCACAGTTAAGTCTAGCAGTGCTCTCTAGTGTTTCTCTTGGGTCCTAATATCTAGAAACAAACAAACAAAAAAAAACAAAACAAAACAAAACTAGACTCAGTTAAAGGTCTACATTTGAAGCTTAGTTTCTTCATTTACTCATTGTATGGCTTTTGGCATTATTTATTTATAAAACTGGGAAACCCACGATCTCTCTTACAGGTATTGAGTGTGGATTCAGTGCTGTGCCATCTAGGTGGTGGCCGTGCTGTGTGGCATGTGGCAGAAACCCACTGTCACTAATATCCAGAAGAATTGCTCCTATCCACCCTTCTGTCAGGGAATACTTTTCTGAGTATGTAATTGCAAAGATATGAAATAAACATTTTCTACTTTTCTAGTGTTGCTGATCATGTAAGTTACTATTTTAAAAGTAACTTTTATTTATAATAGGTCCTGGTATCAAATTACTACTAGAAAAAAATAGTTCAATACTAACTAATTTAAGTTAAAATCACTGTTTCACATGGACAAAACTGGTCTACCGAATAACCCCATAAAACAAGTTAACCCATTCAGGCGCCTAGGAAGGTCTTTTGTAGTCATTCATATCTATGGGTTCCCTGAGGCAACATCAAGCTCAAAACCAGTGATCCATGGGAATGCTAGGTTTCTCTAAAAGCCACAGGCCAAAATTGATAACACCTGCCCTGAGAAATGTCCAAGCCGAACGATTTCTGCCCTTCTTTATGGCATGAGACCTTGGGGATTTAGTTGAACAATTGTTTGTGTTTGGAAAAGATCCAGCACAGCTTCCTGAGGAAAATTCTGGCATTGCTTGAGGTGATCTGTGTGGTTTTTGTGGAGCCAAAGAGATTTCTCATCTAGGAGGGGCTGTGGAGAAGCTGCCTCCCTTTCCATGGCACGGGTTATTCCCACTGCCTGATGCTTTGGTTTCCAAATCATATGACTCTTTCTTTATCAGCTACCTAGAACACCAGGAATCCTAACCCTCATCAGAGAGAAGCTTTGACCTCAAAGGACCACCCGAATGCCAGCAGAGAGAAGATCCCTTGAAGGATACGCCATCTGCACGTTCCTTTCTTCATTCCCATTCCAGCCTCCAACCGAGAGAAGACACACAGCTGAGTGGCTAAATAAGATGCTGAGACAAAATAGGGTTGTTGGAAAGTTTAGGGGGAAAAGGCTAAGAAAAATATTTTGCTATATCATTTATCTCCACTGACATAATTTTGCACTTGGAATGAAGAAGATAGATAAAAGTAGTTGATTAAAATAAAGGAAAGGAGAAGTATAAGGAAAATGTATCTCCAAGAAACTGGACCCTGAGTACATCACCATTCCTCAGTTAATAGGAAACTAGTCTCGTAAAGATTGATGGAAGTGTCAAGATACAGCTTAACAGGAAAACTAATAAGGAAAAAGGAAAGTGAAATATTTATTCTTCAAATGCTCTGAAATGACATTAGGCCTTAAAACATTTCTTTGAGGCATTTTAATGTCCACAAACATGCTTGAGTAATGACAACTTCATGTTTTGAGTACCTACTGCATATCAGATATGTTCTCAGGAGTGATATACTTGTATATAAAGATATAAATACGTACATGTCCACATATGTGTCTACTTCATACCATGTGCAATTCAGTTTGCTCTTCTAAGAAAGTAGCTTGGAGTCACACTGCTCATTCAGAAACAAATCCACAAACTACCTCATCTCCAAGGGTGGAATGCTACAACTTTACAATGACTTTCCCATTGTGAAGCTCAGATGGGGATCAAAACTGTCCCATTTGCCATGGTAGCCTAGAGGTCTGGTTTTGAAGAACTGTTGTCCTCTCAGTGAACTAGGTGGTCTGTGAACTATTGTTTTCATCCAAGTCAACTACAATATAATCATTAGGGGCAAAGAAATTTCCTTATATCAGGAGATTGGGGCTCTTTCTTCAAAGTCACAGTGCTGGGTCCAAAAACTGAACTCCCACTATAGATCATGAGGAACCATACACAGCTCACCATTTTAAGGCTGAGAGAAGACTATTATGTAAAGTCTGACTGAAAGTACAGAACAAGCCCTGACTGGTGTGGCTCAGTTGTTTGGCCATCATCTCACAAAGCAAAAGGTTGCCAGTTCAATTCCTCATCGAGGCCCATGGGGTGCGTACGGGAGGCAACTGATTGTTTTTTTCCCATTTCATATCAATGCTTTTTAGTCGAATGCCACTTCAAGACAAGTACCTTAGCTCCACTTCTTCCAGATACTAACCCCTGTCTCTCCTATATTGAAAGGGGCCTTATTCAAATACAAATCATGAAATGTCCACGTTTCCATTTTTTATTTAGTCATCAATCTCCCCAGGTCTGCTCCTAACTAGCTCTGTTGTGGCCATGGACAAGTCACTTTGAGCCTCAGATTCTTCATCTGTCAACAGAGGGGGCTAGACTTAGATTCTTACAATCTCTTCCAGACTAAAAATTCTATGATACTGAAATCACAGGAATTGATACCAAATGTACAAGTTAGAAATCACATTCTAAAGATACTTATGACTAATAAAAGGACAAATAACCCAATTTCAAAAAATGGGCAAAGGATCTCAATAGACATTTTCCCAATGAAGATATATATATAAATGGCCAAAAAGCACATGCAAAGATACTGCTGTCAGTAGTTACCAAGAAAATGCAAACCAAAACCACAGTGAGATACCACTTAACACCTGCTAGGACAGCTTAAATAAAAAAGACAGACAATAACAAGCGTTAGTGAGGATTTGGAGAAATTAGAGCCCTCATATGTTGCTGGTAGGAATGTAAAATGGTGCAATCACTTTGGAAAACAGTATGGCAGTTCCTCAAATGGTTAAACATAGGTTTAACATATGATCCAGGAACTCCGCTCCTAAGTGTCTACCCAAGAGAACTAAATATATATGTCCGTATAAAAACTTGTCCATCACAACATTACTCATAGTAGCCAAAAAGTGGAAACAACCCAAATGTCCACCAATGATAGATGGATAAACAAAAGGTGGTACAGCCATACAACGGAA